GATGGCTTGTGGATCCATGCTAAAGATCTATGTATTTGCATCATCTTATATTTCTGTGCATCATAGCAGCTGTGGGTTTTTTTGGTCTATCACCATAGGTCTGATCTATGTAGGATTTGACAATGGCTTATAGGAGATCTGATGTAAAACTTTCATGGATTAATAAGGATCTGTGCCTCAGACCCATGTGTTTGCATCTGGGCAGTGCTATAAAGGTAACAGATTATGATTTTTAAAAAATATACAATTAAATTTGTGGGCCTGGGTGTGTTTTGTGACTCTGGTATGATGTGGAGTTGATCAGATATAAACATGTAGAAAATTTGGATTTATGTTTTTGCACTGTTGTGGTATAAAGTAGGAGTTCTGAGTCTCCCCCTCCCCTCCCCTCTGTTTGCGAATATGTACGTGATCTGTGAATCAACTGTGAATTTAGAAGAGGTCTCATGTAAAAACCCATGCTTTAGCTACCTCGGTGGCTCCCAACAACACCAGATCCTTTTAGTTCTTCCCGTCCAGGAGTTGGACCCTCATGAAATGCCTGAATGGATGGAGGGGTTCGGTGCCCTCCCTTGTGTAAAAACAACAAAGCACACGAAGTCAAGAGGCCCCATCTTTTATTTTAATGGACTGAAGTTCCATCAGAGGTAAGTAGAGCATTCGAAAGGGGGCCCACCGAGCGCCGCCAGACGATCTCTCTCGCGCTGCATTGGATCCCCAACACAAGGAATGGTCCCGCTGGTTTTTGCACGTGCGCGCTTGGATCGCCCGGCTTTTGCAAGGCGCTCCAGGCTGGCCACGAGGAGTCCTCCTCGGGGCGTCTCTGCACTTTCTACCCGGGCGACCCTTTCTTACCGCCTGACCTCAGTTCCCCGCCCCTCCCTTGCCCCACAAAGCAATAAAGGGGCGGGAAAAGAGGGGCCTTTAAACAGAGTTTCCTTTGGAGCCCTCGTGGGAGTTTACCCTTTTCTAGGTCTCACCTGGTCGGGTCAAGGTTGATCGCTTCTTCAGGAACTAGAAACGGGTCGTTCTCTCTTAGTTTGCGACTTTTTGGCTGGGTGAGTTCCCTTTCTTGCCTTGCGTAGAGGAATATAGAAGCTGCCGCCTGCATAAAATGTGATTTGTTCTTACTCGTGGGGAAGATTTATACTGCGCTGGCGCTTATCCTTACAGCTGGCCAGGGAATGAAAAACGGGAAGGGAGGCAGTGCGGGGAG